AATACTTGGTGGCTAGTCAGGGATTCTTCCTTCTATCGGGTATATCAATCTGGCTCTTCTCATCTGCTCAAATAATTGGGCTAAAGCCTCAGCAATTGGGGTGAAATTTCTGGGGTTGTTACTTCAAAGTTCGGACGTGGTCTAGGAGCATAGGCGGGTCTATTTTGGTGGGTGGTGGTTTGAATGGGAGCATGTGGTCGTGGTAGGTTTGGATGTATATTGGCTTGAGGTGGGTTGTAGTGGAAGTTGAGTATTATAGTATGCTTGGGCATTATATACTGGGTTATAAGTGGGTTGGTTTGGAGGATGAGTGTTTGTGGGGTAAGGATTGGCTCGGTGAGGAGGACTTGGTTGATAAAATGGGACAATTGTCGTCACCACTTCTTTCTTCTTCTTTCCATTACCGATGGAACCAAACTATATAGCCTTTCTAGCATCTTGTAGTTCGGCCATTGATTGTATCTTCCTAGACTTAATGCCTTCTTCCACGAAGTCTCCCATTTTGACCAGCTCGGGGAACTTCTGGCCCATCATTCCTATCATATTCTCGAAGTAGATTTCTTCTTGAGCACAGATGAAATACTTGGTCAGCTCATTGTCATCAAGCAGGGGTTGTACTCTAGATGCCCCTGACCTCCAATGACGAGCATATTCTTGAAATGACTTAGAGGGCTTCTTTTGTAGGTTCACCAAAGCAAATATATCCGGGGTGATCTTAGTGTTAAACCTGAAATGATTCATAAAATTCTCAGCCATGTCTTGCCATTCTCTCTTGTTTTTAGGGTCATGCCTGGTGTACCGAGTGTGCGATTCCCCAGTCAGACTTCTTATGAACAGTTTCATCCTTAACTTCTGATTTCTTCACACACCTACCAACTTGTCATAGTACACCATCAAGTGAGCGTGGGGATCGCCCGTTCCATCAAAGATATCAAACTTCGAAGGCGTGTAACCTACCGGCATATCAACATCAGGGAGTATGCATAGGTCTTCATAATCTAAGTTCTCGCTCCCTCGAGCAATTTGCAGCTTCTCCGTCTATTTCCTTAGTACTTGTAGTTGTTTAGACAATGACTCATCTTCTTTAGACTTTGCTTCTCTCTCTATTTCAGCATACTGGTCTATCTCATAAGACGATCTAAATGTGATGGGTGCGGTAAAAGTTGGTTCAAATGTGTTATATACGGGTGGAATATATCACTCTTGGGTGGCGGTGTGTGCTGCAGGTATATACTGCATGCGGTTGTTGGTGAAATGGAATATATCACTCTTGGGTAGCGGTGTGTGCTGCGGGTATATACTGCATGCGGTTGTTGGTGAAATTGACATTTTCACGAGGAGGAGTTTGGATCAAATTAGTGGTGGCTGGGATTTGGTAGAGCTTGAACATAGTTGGGAACATAAGGTGTGTATATAGGAGGGTTTCGTGGGTTTGTAGGGTAACTGGCGGTATGACTTGAGTTATGGCGGGGTTTGTGGTGATGGTAGTTAGGGTATTAGTTGTTTGTCGGCTTGATGAAGGGAAGTGGCCGGGGATTGAATCTTGTGCTGGAAAACAGGGTAGTTGTGGAAGTGTCATCACGGCCAGATGTGCTAACTCCCCGATCTGTTGTACCTCCTCCCTTAGCGACTCCATCCCCTTTTCCATCGGGCAACATGCTCATCATTCCAAGTTTCATCCCTTTCCCCTGATCCCCCTGGGTTGTCGGCTCCCACCAAAGCATTTCCGATCGGGTTGTCTGTATCTTAACTTTGGACCTTAGATTATACAGTGGCTTGGCCAGTTTATAAATCAACACAAATCAACCTCTATTTCGGGGATAAATAAAGCAATAAAGCAAGAAAGTAAAGAAGAGTAAAAGTTAGTTCAGGGATTGCACAAATATAATCACATAGAGCAGTTAGTTTACATATTCAAACAAATGCATTTTCCTAAAACATTTAAGGACCTCTCTTTGCCAGAGGTAGGCCTATGTCGCAAGCGTTTGACAATCAGTCAGATTTTGACACATTCGGATCTGAAGCATGTTTAGTTTTAATTGATGGAATTTGCTAGTAATTAGGTTACATGGACTCCACTACTAATAGAAAGATGGGGGATAGTTGCTGAGGGCTAAAATGTAATTTTCAAGGTTTACAAAGGTTGCGTGGGCTAATAGAATCGCCCTTAGGGAATGAAAAGTTCAAAGAGGAGATCAACCAACAACTCAATAGTCATCCCCGAAATCTCCTCCCAAACTCTCCTCCTCTGGATCTTCTTCGAGATCTTCTTCAACCTCCTCCTCGTCCTCATCATGGTTGTACTTTGGCTCCTCTTCCGGATCTTCCTCTGGTTCTGTCTCGGACCCAATTTGTATGTATTCCACTATCTGGTTGTTATCATTTGGCGGTGGCAACATGTTATCAACCGATCTCGGGACCACCTGTTGATTCATGGCAGTGGTGACAAGATAGTGAGGCAGGATCTCGTGGTAAGGCTGCTGCTGAGTCCTCCAATCCAGCCAATCCCTCCCTACTGGGCTTGGCCAATTCATCTTCGTCATTAATCCACACAAAATACTTAGGCTTGCACTATGAGGTTTCACCCATACCCATTGTGATTAGGTCATTCCTGGAGCCTTCTTATCCTTGGGATTGGAATCTCCCGTTGTATTCATCCTCGTACAAAGTTGTCCTTGGCAAAAGAGGTACTTCTTGAATCAAACCAAAATGCCTCAGAACCCTCAGTGGTGCATACGACCGAATCCCTTCCAGGCCTACCAACTCGATGAAGTATTTCCTCGACCTTCTCATAATTGCTTTGCCACTCAACCAAGAAATTTTCTAGTTGATGAATTCTTTGGTCAGGCAGGTTAAAAACTCCCACCACTCTTCTTGGCCATATGGTCTAGCCCAATGCCTCATCCTTTCGTTGTGACTACGGATCATGTTGCTAGTGCCGACAAAGTAGTCGACGGTCAGCTCTATTTGGAAGAAATGCTCTATAGCCCATATCTATAGCAACACGTTACAACCTTTGAAGAAATCATACCCTCTTGAACACGTCGAAAAATTTATGAACATTTTTGCCAGTATCATAGGAACAAGAGTAACCCGCAGATTTCCTCGGAATGTAGCCAAGACCAGGGGTAGTAAGTTGATATTGATCTGCCCCTTCCTTTGTGGGAAAACAAGAAGTCCCAACATTGCTAAGGAGAAGGTCAGGGACAAAGGCTCTCCTATGTCGCTTGGTCACACTGAAATTTCTCAAGATGCTAATCGTAGCTCTCCTAATGCCCAAATGTGTCAAACAACTGGTCCAAACTCACCCATCCGTCCTCGACACTTCTCAGGTTCTTGTTACTCTTCAAACCCAGTGCGAAGAGGAACTTATGGTCTAGCATGATAGTCAGCAATATAGGCTTCCATCTGGCGAATGATGACTCGGTGAAACTGGTAACTTCCTCAAGCGTTGGCGTCAGCTCACAAACAACAAATCTGAAGGCTGCCTTGGCTCGGACCCATAACTCTATAAATAACTCGGTGAGTACCTTGTCTGCTCAAATGTTCATTAGCGCACTTAGTGGTCCTAGATGTGTCCTGATTTCATCTTCGTCCTCTCACCGGATATTCCTCCACCACTATTTCAGCTTGTGAGGTGCTCCCGTAACCATGTTAATTTCTGGGATGTTGCGGTTGATTTCCATCTAAAAGGGTGAAAGATTTGGTAAGTATTTTGCTCCGAATCCTTAGTGTCTCATCTAGATTGATATTTCGTTCCAATATAACGCGTGTCCTTGGGTGCATGACCCGTTCACATTAGGGTGGCTTTCCTAATTATGAGTCGATACCAAGGATCAACCCACCTAAGGTATATCATGACCAATGTTTGCTAAAAGTAGAGTTTTTTCCTAAATTTGGAGTTGGAATGAATAATTGCGAGACGTTATGTTAGTTGGCCTGATAAGGTCGTTCTCTGAAATAAGAGAGTATTGAATGAAGGTTCGGAGCGGTGAAAAGACAACCCTCACGTGACATTGTGTGTAATTGTGTACGATCAAAACTCGATAGGAAAAATATGATGACAGTGTATAAAGTAGTAGCATGTAATTGTGGTGAAACAGTGATAATATTAAAAATAAATAACTAAGCACATATCAACAGGTTATAGAGGTATGTAGAGTGTAATAAAGTAGGATAAAATGAATAAACAAATACTGCAGGTTAGACACACAACTAGAGCAGAATACAAACAAACATCCCCAAGTTCATGTCTAGCCTAAGCCTGCTAAGGTCAGAACCTAAATGTATTTCCCAGCAGAGTCGCCATGTTGTTGCACCCTATTTTGTACAGGTAAAAAAAATATAACTAATGGTTCTTCTGAAGTTGATAAAAAGAGTCGTCACCTAATATTTAATGTATAATAGGGTACCTATAAGTCTGTGAAATTTATTATCCTAATGGTTTGCTAACCGGTGAGATTTGGGTAAGCATTCTAGTTATTCTAAGGGGAAGGGGTTAGGCATCCCTTAAAATCAATCCGAGGTAGCTCCTTAAACTTAGGTTAGGTTCGGGGAAAGGAAAAACTAAATTCTATTTGAATTTGATAAGTGAGATTTTAAAAAATGTTTCAAGTTTGTTTGAAAGCTTATTTTGCGAAAAAGGTTGGGTATTTCCTTTTAGAAGGGTGATATCTATTTGTGAGTCTTTGTAACTTGAAGAATAATAGACTACTTCAAAAATATGCTTTTGGTTGAAATGGATATACCTTGTTTGTTTTATGAAAATTGCTCTAGCGAAATGCCTTATGTTTCAAACTCAATTTGTTGTCTTTTTTTTTTTTTTTTTTTGATTTAATTTGTAGACCTTCATTTAATTCACTCCATAAGAACTTGGTAAATAGAGAAACACAGTTTAGTAACGAGCCAATAGCGGTCAAAAAAGACAGTCACACTAACATTAAGATATAACCAACTTAAAATGCGATCAAAATAATTAAAATCCACATCTTCTCAATTATCTAATTCCTCCAGTTTCCATCAGAGTCACCACCACCCCTTGAGTAGCGTGATCCGCCATCACCACCGTATCCACGGTCACCACCACCGCCATATCCACGGTCACGGCCACGGCCACCACCGTAACCACCGCCGCCGCCGCCGCCGCCGCCGTAACCACCACCGCCGCCCTCGCGTCTTCCACCTCCATATCCTCCACCTCCGTATCCACCGCCTCCCTCACGACGTCCACCGCGGAAACCACCGCCGCCGAAGCCGTGCTTCGTTAACGGTGATGTTACGACCATCAAGGTCTTGGCCGTTCATCCCTTCGATAGCGTCCCTCATGGATTTCTCTCTTGTAAGTCCTTCCGTATATGATTTCTTTTATTTTTTGAAACAATTTTGTATTGTGCGTGATCCATTTGATGATTTTCCGAGGGTGTATTTATTTCAAATCTGCCAAAAACTTGAAATCATTGAAATTCGTTAGCACTACATATAAATTAAATTGTTTGTTTATTGAGTGGTTAGTCCCAAACTATTAATGTTCAAAGCGTTAAAGTGATTGAAGAAAATGAACCATATAAATCTAGAGGAGACTACACTTTATACCCACAAAAACCAAAATATTTACCCGCTCTTACCCATTTTGAAAATAATTACAATATCCACCTACCCCACCCATATTAATTACCCGGCCTACCTATCACTCTTTCTCTGTAATTTTGAAGTTTAAAGTTGTCTTCTATGTTCCCCTGTTTTTCTCCCAATTTTCTCTTTCTTCCTTTTACCACATTAATTCATTTTCTCTTCATATTCTTCCAATAAGCAATTCCTTTTATTCTTAAGTTCTCTCTTCCATATATCATTGGCAAGAAAGTTAAGTAGGAAAAAGTTCTCGGTGAGTCTTATCCATTATTCAATAGAGAAATATTACAAAGTAGTGGATCCAAATTTAGATTTGAAGAAAAAAATTGGAACTTTATGTGTATGAGTTCAAACTATTAGGTCTGAATTTTCGGTAGATCGATCTTCTTCTCTGCCAGATCGATCTTCATTAAGATGGTCAACCCAAGCTGTTGCTCTAACTCCTTTCCTTATGATTTTTGTGTGTATGAAGACCCACCATTGTTGAGCTTGAAGCTTCTAAAACGGAAATTTTGTTTTGAAGATATATTGTTTGATTCGATGTGGGTGCTATAAAATATTGCTTATAGTACCTTCGAGTAGCTTCCCAAATCTGAATTTTTATGTGTGTTTGAATATCCACCATTATTGGCTTGAAGCTCAATTTTTGTTTTTGAAAATTTCTTATTTGATTCAAAGTGGGTGTTATTAAATATTGCTTATAGTACCTTCTGGAAGTTCATACTGAAATTTGATACATTTGAAGTTGATTTGAGATGATTAAGATCGAATCTTTTCACTGAAAATCGAAGAAGAAGACAATTACTTAATAGTATATTGCTACGGTATACAATATGTTGTAGGAGTATATAGCTATATTGTAACAATATACTATTATAGTATACAATATACTGCAACAGTATACTATAATAATCGAAGAAGAACACAGTTACCTAACGGTATACCATTACGATATACAATATACTGTAGGAGTATATAGCTATAATGCAACTGTATACTATTATAGTATATAATATACTGTAACGGTATTTTGTAATAATATGTAATATACTGCAACAATATGCTGTAATAGTATACGATATACCATAATAGTATACTATTTTAATGTAATAGTGTAATGTTGAATGAAGAACATAAAATATCATTTTCATATATTGTATGCTATTTTGGTATNACTGCACTATAATCTGTTCTGCAATAATATTTAGGGTGTAAGCACTGCCTGGAACTCTTGAAGTTCCTTGGAACTTTGACACATCCTAAATAAGAGAGAGGCTTTGAAAAATCCGATCCTGGAAGTTGGTTTATCTCATATTATTAGACTTTGAGTCTGGATTAGGTTGATTAGATGTAGATGTAATCACTGATGTATTTTCATTTATTCTTTTGATTCACTTGGTCTGTCATAAGCTTTGTAATGAACCTTGTAATAACTACTGGGGTAGGTGAAAAGGGATGGGATAGAATGCATGCCTATATGGTGTATATTGTCTCAATTCTGCATTTTTCACGTAGATACCATGCCTATAGGGTGTATATTTTCTCAATTCTGCATTTTCACGTAGATACCATGCCTATAGGGTGTATATTTTCTCAATTCTGCATTTTCACGTAGATACCATGCCTATAGGGTGTATACTTTCTCAATTCTGCATTTTCACGTAGATACCATGCCTATAGGGTGTATATTCTCTCAATTCTGCATTTTCACATAGAAAACACGTCTATAGGATTAATACTTTAAAATGCTGCATTCTTCACATAGATACCATGCTCATAGGTTTTCTGCACTTCGCAATATATACCATGTCAATAAATCACTGCTAAAATTCTGCACATCACGTAGATAATATGCCTATAGGATTTTTCCTGCATTTTTGCACGTGCATCTGTCATTAGGCAATTCCACTTATAAGGCCTAAAATAAACCAATCATATCAATGACCTGCTTAGAAGATCTCTGCATAACAAAATTCGTAACACCTAGAAAACATGCCTATAGGAGTAATCGATTAAAATCTAAAATTGCCTACTCATCTTTAAAATCAGTAGTAATTCGTTTAAAGTGCTCGCAGAACTTACGATACTGTAACTTATTTTTTTTTTGCAATCAGTTCGTTCTTCCCCTGTCTTTGAACTAATAGATATCATGCATATAGACCCTGTTTAACATAGATAGATAGTTAGATAATTAATCAATCGTCAGTTTTTTTGCAACTACATCTAAGCAGGACTAATTCGGACTCCCTATCTGGAAAATAAGTGGTAGATCAATTCTTCCTACGCTAATTTTAATCAAGGACCTAAACAGTATGTGTAAGACGTGCTAAACAATTTGTTTCTCTAAATGAGAAGGCCTACTTGAGCCTTTAATTGCTTTATCTCCCCATTAAGTGTATTATGTGTTTTTGATTGTCGCCTTAGAATTTTATCCTTTTAAACCCCTGAAAAGCCAAGCTTCCTCCCTTTAGGATTAGTAGTCCTAAAAGCCTCCAGGACTGATAGGTGAGACGGGTAATAGCACGCTATAGGTAGCGATACCATTCCGCGACTAATACCTTAACGGGGTGGGAAGGGTTGACATGGAGATGATGATCACACGATAACACTATGCGTACGATTGGTTACCGGTGTTGTGTGGATGATCCATGTGATTTATTAACCTAGGACCCCTTTCCTTATGTTACTTTGTTTAGTATCAATAAATTCTGTCTTTTCAACTACCCAAAACTCCCCTTTAATTTTTTCACTGCATTATTCCTTTTCCTTCTAACTTTTTCTTCTTTGTTTATTCAATGTCTTGACTAATTCTTGCACTTAGACTCTCCCTCAAACAAATTATAGATTCTAACATGCTTGTTTGCAACCCTTATGTGTAAATTTATTTGTATACTTGTTTACATTAAAGTCACAACATAGCATGGTCGGGAACCACACTAGTGGATCTTGAGGGGTGCCTAGCACCTTCCCCTCGAGATAATTTCTAGCACTTACCCGAACTCTGGTTTTCAAATTCAAAACCCTTAGTGTCCTAATGCACTTAATCATTAGGTGGTGACTCTTCAATTCCAAAAACCCAATTCCCAAACGGGAATAGAGTTGTCTTCCCAAATGTCGTAAACCCGATTTCGCTTTAGAAAAAGGGGGCGTCGACAGCATGGCGACTCTGCTGGGGATTCTTTAGGCTTTTACCACTTCATGTTATATGTGACTTTATTGTTTTCTTTATTGCTTTGTTTAATACCTTTATTCGAAACTAACTTGTCTTTTTGTTTCTTTTTCTTTAACGCGTTCATTTACTGCTTTCCTTCAATACCGTTGTAATTTCTGAGCAATTATTGTAATCATTATGAACGTGAAAATACATGACAATTTGTTTCATTCTTGTAATTGCTTCTTCAATATCATATTCCACTCGTGCCAAACAAATACCATAGCAACGCTTGATGAGTTGTTGCGCTCTTCCGATATTAGTACCCCCTAAATTTGGCAAAGGCATATTTGCGGTAAAACTAGTCGATCAGCGGTGCAGTCGATGGTTCCGTGCCTTTCCCTCTTGAGTTGTCCGCTCAAGGGTACCGGTCTAGCACCCCATAGAAACCTTATTCTACTTAACTGTACATGCATCACTGTCAAACCTAGTCGAGTCAGTTATGTTGTCCACATAATGACTCTTTAGGATAGCCTTATCCAAAGTCCACTGGGTTCCCCTGGGACCCAAACGGACAACACCATATTCTGTGCATTTATTTGGAGGACTAAATGCTGTTTATGCCAATTATTGATTTAAATAGTCGAGTTCGGCAGGGGTGAGGGACTAACACTTTGTTTTGCAGAAAATGAGGCACGAAATCCCCAGATTCGGCATGGTAAACAATATTCACCCGAGGTTGCTAAGTTGGTGGGAGGACCTTCATTCTAGTGACCGGACTCTCGTCCGCAAGTATTTGGGAAACTTACCCTCTCTTTTGGAAATTCAACCGGACAACAAAATCATAGAGGCTGCGACCTTATTCTGGGACAGTGACAGATCAATATTTTGATTTGGAGACCTTGAAATGACCCCTCTGCTCGAGGAAATAGGAGGTTTAGCCGGTATTCCTTGGGAGACTCCGGGTTTGCTCATGCCAGAAAACCGCAAGGGTAAGGGTTTCTTCAAAATGATGGGGTTGAAGAAAAATTTAGACTTGACTTGTTTGAAGGATTCCTATATTCCTTTCGACTACCTGTATGAGAGGTACAGCCATAGAAAATCCTACCGCACCTATCCAGATGAATTCGCCCTCACATCATTGGGGCATATCCACAGGAGGGTTTTCGTCTTTATGTTCTGCTTCTTGGGAATGATAGTGTTTCCTATGAAGAAGGCTAGGATCTATATCAGACTAGCCATGGTCACCAAGACATTGATGGAAGGGATTGGAGGGCAGCCTTTCAGCATAGTGCCCATGATTGTTGCTGAGATCTACCGAGCTTGGAGAACTGTCAGCGAGGAGCCAGTCATTTTGAGGGTTGCAACTTACTACTCCAACTCTGGCTTATAGAACATCTCCAAAAGGGTCGATACTGTCAAGAGCTTCCGCGAAGGCCGTGGAATGATCATATAGCCTTTCACCATCCCAAGAGAATGAACTATATGCCTGACATGTTTGTTCAG